GGGTGTTCAAGGAAAAACTCTTGATAATATATTTTTAGGACAGGTACCCAAAAGATGTATAATTGGTTTTGTGAACAATTCTGCATTTAATGGTTCCCCTACTAAAATCCATTTAACTTTGAAAACTATGGTATTAATTCTTTCAGCTTATATATTGATGGTCAACAAATTACCTTCAAAATCTTTGCAACCATTTTTTAATAATAGTATATTTACATCAGCATATCTCATACTCTATTCTCGGGAACTGGTATTCACTTTCTTAATGAAGGAAATGGAATCTCATGTGAACAGTATGCTAAAGGTTACTGTCTATTAGCATTTGACTTAACTCCTGATTTATCAGCCAACTCATCAGCTCATTGGAATCTCATAAAGCATGGTAGTGTAAGATTAGAAGTACGATTTGAATCCTCACTAATACAAACAATTAACTTTATAGTTTATGCTGAGTTTGATAATATTATTGAGGTAGATAAAAACAGAAATGTTACTGTAGACTATAGTAGTTAAGGTAATAATATGTGTTGTGTGTTAGATTTTATGAGTTATGTGTAATGCATTTTGTGTGTATGTAACTATGCAAATCGTTATAAAATTAAATAAAACAAATTGTATGCGATATATTATTTTTTATTTCTTTATAAATCTTCTATTTAATCTAATACAAAAAACTGTTCGAGTTTATAGTTACATAGGACTCTCTCATTAGATCATCAATAATAACGAGATGTGGGTTTTCACCATCAAACATATTAAGATTTGGAATTCCTTGATGATAGTTAACATTTGGTAAATTATATAAAGGTTGCATTTCATCAAAGCACCATATGATCTGATTAAAATCACAATTGCATATTTCTGTAACTGATTTTATGAAATTTGTTACAAAATTTGACTTCCCACATCCACTTGGTCCTGCCACAATAGCAGTAAGCGGATGTATAAAGTGAAACATTACACACGTCTAAAGTTCTAAGGGGTGAAATAAAAAATGAAAGTGTTGGTGTAAACAATTAATATATTATATTGTGTACTATAACTAATGTTTTTGGGAAATCAAACAAAATTTATGATTAATTGAAAATTTTATTTTCAAGCAATAACCACTTGTAAAAAACCCACACTTCGTCACAAGAACAATGAAAAAATTTGTGATTATTTTTTGCAAATATATGATTATTACACACATAACGTTTGTTTAAATTTATGACATTTACCAAATCATTGTATTTTGGACATTTGTATTCTTCAATATTAAAAATTCTATCGTAACCTTAACCTTTGTATGCGATCACTTCGTCTTTGCACAAATTTCTAATATACCAATTTAATACGGGGATGATGTTCTCTTGTTTGTAGGCACATTTTAATTCTTTGGTCACATCAAAATATGAAATGCCGTGCACGTGTGTTTCCCAATAACGAACAGATTTTTTGTCTTTTGGTGACAAATAATTGAAAGGATAACTTGACAGAAACAAATAATGATCGATAAACGCATCATTTTTATTAGATAGTTTTACGTCTAGAATAGCCATTTCTCTACATTGAAAATGTTTATGAGGATATGTAATGTAAAATCCGTCCATGTCGATGATGTATCCAATATTTTTTAGATTTTCTATCATTTTGAACCAAAATGTTAAAAGTATTTACACGTGACTAAAATATGTTTGTTCCAACAAACTTCACATAACAAGCTTCATTACTTCCCATCATCCCATTTCTTCCTTCTGCTCTTGTCTTCCTGTAATTTAAGTAAACAGAATCACATTCACTAATGATCAACTAATGACTGTCATTGTTAAAAAAAGTATTTTTTAACTACTCTAGTATTCGTAGATACGGTACACACAAAATATTTAAATATAATTTGTTAACACTAAATCATACACACGTAGGAAAATAACAGAAAGAAAAGTAAGTTTGTCAATAGAATAAACACTTAAAATTGCAATTAACAATTTAATTGGTGCCGGCGGGGATCGAACCCGGGTACTGTGAAATTTACAGCTTGCGCTAACCATCTGAGCTACCACGGCTTAATATAATACACACACAATATTTAAATATAATTTGTTAAAACTAAATCATACACACGTAAGAAAATAACAGAAAGAAATGTAACTTTGTCAATAGAATAAACACTTACATACATGGCCTTTGATGCGTTGAAGTAACACAAATGTAGTATTGATAGATCCACTACGGTCAAACGACCATACACTAACTCCATGACTGCACTTGCTTGGTCTTATATAGTACCAGTAAGTAATAATTCTAATCTAAAGAATTTCTGCAGTGGAATTGATAGTAACTTTATGCGTCAACAAGCTTATTCCACGTTTTGTCGCTTATCTCAACTTACTTCGTGTCGCGTCTTGTTTAGTGTATTGATGACTCAAATACGTTTTGTATAATACAAAATAATGCAATTTAATATTTAGAAATCACTATAATTGATCATTCCTATGTTAGTCATTGAGTAGATTGTACTGTAATAATCTACTAATAGCAGTAATATCATGGATACACTAGATGTAGAACAACATCTGAAAAAGATTCACACCAGTCTAGAAAATAATGTTTATGCTGCCAATAGACTGACCATGTACACCCACGTGCCAACGTATATAATATGCAATTTGGATACAGATGATAAACCAGGGACACATTGGGTAGCTTTATATATCGATACGAATGACGTCGGTCAATATTTTGATTCATATGGACGAGCACCTATACGATATCATCTAGAGTTTTTAAAAAGGAATTGTAAAAGATAGAACTGGAATGTTGATAGGATTCAGAATGAGTGGACTTCAGTTTGTGGCGAATATTGCTTAATGTATTTGCTATATAAGTTTAATAGATGTTCAATGCATAGTTTTACGAGTATAGGGAACACATTGTACAACGATATTTTAGTGGATGAGATGTTTCGCTCCTATTTTATAGAAAATAAGTAATAAGATTTTGTATTTCGTAAATAAAAATTGTAACAAAATTAGGTAATGTATTTTATTGATGATTCAGATTACCATTGTAGTGAGGAACAAAGGAGTATAATATAATGGCACTGATAATCCGACGCACGAATAGACAATGACGGTATTCAATGAACAAACAATAAATTTCAATGGGGCGCTAATGACGGTGGAGGCCCTCACCGGATATCAATTAGATAAGAGTTAATTGATCTGCACATCTCCGGAACCGTGCATCCTACGCAAAAACGGACCGCAGATTCGTGATCAGAGCATGCCAAAACCTTTTTTTTTTAGGATCGTGAGTCTCGACGAACGTTGTACCACTTCTGAATCAGTGAGCCAGAACTGGTACTAACTGACTACTCTTTAGGCCACAATCACACAATCCACAAACACGTGCGCGTCGACAGTTTTAATTAGACGGTTCGCAAATGGCGGAACCGCGATCGTCAAGCAACTTACTACCATATTGTTAGTGATGAACATATTCTCTACTCCATATTTTCCAAAAGTGCTGGACCAACTTTTGAATCCAGAGCCAACGTGTGAGATGGTAAGGGTTTTCGTCCTATAAAGATACATCAAGTAGAGCCGTTAAGGGTACTTCTATTTAAAAAAATAAGACGGTGTTAAGGGGAGAGTATCGGTAGTAGCCAAATTTATGGCGCAAATGGGGCGTGAATTTAACACGACTTCGATTTGACGGAGAAGAGTATGCATCTCCTCGTAAGTTTGAGTACGAGTTTCAACCACATGATGTAGGTGGTGTTTGAAACTTTTAACACTGGCTTCGAAGAGACCTCCAAAATCGCTAGCATACGGAGATTAAAAGTGCCACGTAAGTCCCTGTTCAGGGGTTTGTTGATTAATTGTACTACGAACAACAACACTACGTAAAATAAGTCTTTAAGATAATTGTTACATCTGACAAAATACTTTCCACAGTCCGAATATATATTATCCGTACATTATCTTCGACGGAACGCGAAGCGTTGCAGAGCTGCTAAAAATACATTAATTGGAAAGCTACGAAACGAGTTTGCCTAGCGATGAAAATCGCTCGCATTATAACTATCGAATATAATATAATATTATGCAGTATGCAGTTAATAGTATAATAGTGAATAATAGTGTGCAGTTTCGTGGTCTTGGGGAACTTGGTAGACTTGGAGGGAAAGGCCAAATTGGGCCCCAGTGCCAGCTCCTTCCACTTGACCGCATTCAGCGCAGAGCCTTTTGAATCGTCAACGACCGAGTTCTTACTGATCGGCTCGACTCACTGGCGCTGCGTAGGGATGTTTCATCCCTTTGCGTTTTCCTTTGTATCTACCATGGGGAGTGCTCTGAGGAATTATTCAGATTAATTCCAGCCGCCAAATTTCACGAACACACATCTTCTTAAAATCACGATGACATCCTCACCATCTGTATGCTTGGCGATCCATCACTGTGCGTTTTAGTATGGAGTTTTGTTCCTCGTACGACCTATCTATAGAATTGTTTACAACACGCAACTTTTCCGAACCGATACTATTTAGGGACCTTCAAGAAACGAGCTTACACTTTTCTAAAAGGCCGGCAACGCACCTGAAATTCCCGTGGTGTTGCAGTTGTTCATGGGCGGCGGTAGTCACTTACCATCAGGTGAGCCACATGCTCGTTTATTTCTTCTTCTATAAAAATACAATAAAATTCGGCATTTTGCACAGGCGGTGCTGTAGACATACCAGAAAATAGTGCTAAATTACATCTTTATTACAGGTGCTCATAGCTTGATTCTAAACAGGACCGTAGTCGGGACTTTGTAAGAGCCATGGTACCACAAGTCATATTGTACTACCGCGGCTGGTAGTAAGTCACGTGATGCAGCGTCAACAGGATCATCGGCTGACGGGAAATGCTGCCAGTATAATAGGTGGGACCTTTTAGTAGCATAAGCGATCTCTATATAAATTTGCTACCTAATCTAATAGCTTTGAAAGCAAAACGTGTCAGAAAATCCATGAATTACTTCTTGAACGCTTTCCGCCAGTCGGGTGCTCGTCTTTCATTCTCGTGGCGAACGTTGTGCAATAGAGTCTTCCACGCGGGGTATAAGTGCGGTGTTGATCTCACGCGTCGCGTAATGTTGTCGCTTGCGGGGTATGCAGGGTCGACGTAGGGACGGCTTTCCTCGCTCGCCGACCTGTCTTGTTGATAACTTACGTTTTTTGCAATTTGCACTTTTGGAGAAAAAGACATTTTCCATATCCTTTCAAGTAATCATTACAATATGCCTCGTTTCAAAAAGGAGTGTGCTAACGTTTATACTAAGAACAAATTCTAAGAATAGCGGAAAAAATATTATTTCAAATATTGTGACCGTTAAATATCATTATTGCAAAAAGTATCATTTCCTTGTTTTATTTATTGTTAGGAAACCATTAATTACAATCACACCACCGACCATCCCACGGTGTTAGTGCTCTATGTCTGATGTGCGATTCACACAGCACTCAGTACGTCGTAAAACACTTCTCTCCTTGGACATTCACAAGTTGAGTGGGTCTGACGGAATCTCCCCAATTGTGCTAAAGACGTGCGCTCCAGAGTGGGAACTGGTTCTAAAACGTCTTTACGGTACTCCTACTCCCTAGGCGTAGTCTCAAATTCATCTAAGGCAGCTTTCTTGCATCCGATCCCTAAAAAAGGTAATCGCTCTGATCCATCCATCTACAGGTCTGGCGCATCACCTCCTTGATTTCCAAAATAATAAAGTCGAATATTAATACCCAGCACATGTGATACTTTTAGGAGCACCAACTGATTAGTGACTGCTAGTACGGTTACCATCGACGTCGCCCAGCTCGTGATCTACTTGTTTATCTAAGACACCGATGGGTGCAGGCGATCGATTCCAATTGTAACGCTTCCCCCCTCTCATATTATAAATATATTAAATACTAAATATATTATATTCCCCTTTATATTAAAAATTATATATATATATGTGACCAGGATATATATGTTTTATCTTTCATGATCTTTCTAAAGGTTTAATAATAGGCCGTTTGTAATATTTTGGCGTGATCGACTTAGTTAGGACCCTTATTTACGTTGTGTTTGTTTAGTAACTTAGTTCTTTTAGGTGTCTTTTGGAAGAATGAATATTCGCTAGAGCAATTGAAAGCTGTTAGTAGTGCCTTATAAGCTAAGTGAACCCCGTTCACGAAGACAGGGCTCGAGAAAGGTTAAGACATAAAACGTCCTTATTCCACTTGTATCAGGTTAACATTATTAATTTATTATTAATTATCCCTTCCCGCTCGGAAAAGGCTCAAAATATATTTATACAAAATACCCAATACAAGGGCTTCGCTCTCCTACATTTATTTTAAAAAAATGTAGGGGAGGCACATGGCCCCACACACGCCGTGCACGGTGAGCGCCAACCATTTTGATACACTCCCCCCCGAAGGGAACGCTAATTCGGGAACTGGACCGTAGTCCACAGCAAAATACTGGCGAACCAGTAAAAGAGGCTTGGCCCCTTGCTAGTGCGTAAGCACACACATCGACCGAATCCAGCCACAGTGAATGTACGTCACACGGTTTAGGCGAATAGGCACACTGGCCGTAAACCCTCCGTGAGCGCCACCACCTGCCAGACCGCCGCTCCTGCAGACGTGATGTAAGTGTGTGGAATCACCACCAATTGCATGATCAGCACGGCTACTAGCCGCAGAGCGTGTCATGAGTCTACCGCTCACCTCAAGGGAATGGGGTCCCACGTTGTGCGGCTTTCGGCCGCAGCCTTGAGAGTCTCCTCAGATCCTCCCGCCAGCTACCACCCGCATGAGGTCGACACATATGCTCCACTAACCAATACAACGGCAGATATAGCCAAAAGGCAGTTATGAGATAAGAGTAATAATTCGCCATCAGAAAGGGGTTGTGTCACTGACGTTGAGTAAATGCATTTTCGATCATGTTTGTCTCACCCACCGACAAGTTGCCTTCAATCATTCAAAGGTGGGAAAGTTACAGAGATATAATATTATGTTGTTATATAAAACATCGTGGAGGGCAGACAGTCTGCAGCCCCGTAATGAAGGGTCCCGACTTGGGCAAAGCTACTCAGGCGTGAGTCAATCCAAGACGCAGAGAGCGCCATTGAGAATAGCGTCCCACCAAACAACCATCGCAGAGACGCAATGCTGCAGAACGCAACAAGCATCAATACGACTATCGTAGGGCTTACACCATTCCAAGGTCCCCAATACACAGTGCGATATCCACGGGAAAGCCGTATTGCTACAACAAACCCGCTTACCACCGGCACTAAGATGTTATTTGTTTACCTCCATCGACCAGAACCACAAGAATGCGTCGAATCAGGCGCAGCACACCCGCAGATCCATCACAAGACGCATTACCGCAAGTAGCAGTAAGCATCAATGCAACTATCATACGGATGGCGCTCCCTCACAACACACCCACATGACCCCTATCGATTTTGGTAACAAAGTTTTTATTGTTGTTATTATAAAAAATATCACCAACGTATCATAGTAGCACGCTACTAAGACGCCAATGATCAAAACTCCACGTACCATAGCGCTAATGCACTAAGACATGAAGTTGAGTATGCCTGTTACACTTAAAAGTGCTACCAAACACACTCATCATCCCAATCCGAAAGATAGACGATGCATCACTATGCGCTACTACGCCGCCCACAAACGGTATTGGTGTGCGATGTCCACGGGAAAGCCGTATTGCTACAACAAACCCGCTTACCACCGGCACTAAGATTGTTGTTATATAAAACTGCACCAACGTATCATAGTAGCACGCTACTAAGACGCCAGTGGACAAAACTCCACGTATCATAGCGCTAATGCACTAAGACGTGAAGTTGAGTATGCCTGTTACACTTAAAAGTGCTACCAAACACACTCATCCCAATCCGAAATATAGACGACGCATCGCTATGCGCTACGACGTCGCTCTCAAACGGTATGGGTGTGCGATGTCCACGGGAAAGCCGTATTGCTACAACAAACCCGCTTACCACCAGCACTAAGATGATATGTCTAGGACACATCGGTTAGCGAGTCCAAGTTTAACTCGGACCAATTGCTCGTGAAGCAGCACACACGCCACCATAATATTCCTTTTCAAGTCCCTAATAAGGACTAGTCATTTTGCTACAGTACTAGGAGCAGTCGGTCACCCGACCACCCCATACAATGCTTATACATCAAGGAGACCTTCAATAATAACGCTTTTGTATCATAGACCTTACTTTCATAAGTCATTCATATATAGGGTTCGAACCAACGACCCTACTATTGTAATGCATATTAATCATAGAGACCTTCTATAGTATTGCTTTTGTATCATAGACCTTACTTTCAAAGTCATTAATATATAAGACTTCAACCCACGACCCCACTATTGTAATGCAAATTCATCATGGAGACCTTCTATAGTATTGCTTTTGTATCATAGACCTTACTATCATAAGTCCCTAATATAGGACTAGTCATTGTGCTACAGTACTTCAGGCAGTCGGGCTCCCGACCACCCCATATATATGTACAACTGCAGGTATGTATCTCCGGCAACTCCTCTATACAAGACATCTATACAAGAACACCTTTCATAACTTAGGAAACTTTTCTTTTATACCTGAACTCCTTCCACAACTTAGGAATTTTCTTTTATACATGAACTCCTTCCACGACTTAGACAATTTTTAACAAATTTTCTAATTATCTTATAAATGTTATTTATCTTTATTTTTATAATATTTTCGACTTGTATTTCTTTTATTTATCTTATTTTAACTATTTTTTTTAAGTTTTTAATAAATTTATTTATTATGGAAGACAATATTTTGCATTTTATTTACTATGTTATTGGTCTAATGTCTGAAATGTATTTATATTAACTTTATGGTTATTAATGTAATTTTATTGTTTAATATATATCTTTTAAGACTATTTTTGACGCCCCTTTATATTGAATTTAATTATTAATAATAATATTGGGCCGTCACACAATGAAGATACTTTGGCGGTTTGTTTGAACTTAGCGAAGGCCATAAGTCGGATTTAGCACAAAGCGCTTCTCTCGAAGCTTCAAACTTACATTTTTTCTGAGAAAATGTAATTTGCTCTTCATTTGCTGTAGGTCGCGGTAGACCATTTAATCATCGTCCGAATCAACCACAACTGGAAGATCCATAACGGTTTCCACGTGTCTTGTCTTGTCTGTCACCTGAGGAGTCGCATCACTAGCCATAGCCGATTCATTTGATGAGGGAATCCCTCACGGCCATTCCCTCATCGAATGAATCGTCGTAGTCATTCGAGCTCGGCATCATCAAATATTTTCGAGCGCATTATATACCAAGCTTGGTCAGCCAGGTTTTGTTCCGTGACGGTGATAGACGGCTCCAGTTCAGCAAAAAGCAGCGCATTTGAGCCCGATACGCTATCCCTGTATTTCTTCCCCTTTCGGCCTATAGTACGCCCGCAATGCGTTTGCATTCATAATTTTTGTCCAACGCATACGGCGCACACTACCAGCGGCGGATGCCGCTTGCCGAGTCCGAGAGGACCCTGCCGTCATCAAGCCATCTGGTGGGGATGATGGATGCGGGGGGCTGCTAGGAGATCTTGCATCTCCTTGCGCTTGGCTGGCGGTCCGCATGCTGCTGTATCCAGCGCCAGCTCCAGACGCGCCTGCGGCTACCCCAAGGCAGCGGCTCTATACGTTGTCTATTATAACCCATCATCCATTTCTGGGTGCTAATTAACGGGAGACGCCCAGGCCTGGCACCATTTCATTGTATTATTTTACAGCCGTAAGCACAAACGGGCGTTTGCACTATCAGTACTGCCGAAGGACGGCGCTCACACCTCTTGGCAAGGCACTGACTGACTGCACCGCTACGTCGGTGCAGTCAGTCAGTGCCTTGCAGTTTCGCAACTGTTACGTCAGCGGGTGATGGGGTCGTCACTTCTCTAAGAAAAGTTATTATTATTTTGGGGTATTTTTAGTGTATTCTCATCTGGTTGGGCTGAATAAATATATAAAAGGAAATGATAAATATATATGGTTACGCGGAAACGATTCTTGTATTTTAATTTTATTTGAGGGTATATTGTCAAGCGTTTACCCATCCTTTGACCTACTATCCCTTCCGTATACACTAAAAGGAGAAAGGGGGGAGTCTAGAAGGTGACGCGATT